CATGCAACAACCAGATAGAATATTTAACAAAAGAAGTCAAACAGAAAAGAGAGTGCAGCCTGTGATTCCACTTCATCTGAGTTTAAGAATAGGCAAAATGACTACATGGTGACAGAGCTTAAAAGGTGGCTACACTTAGGAGAGTGGATACTGACTAGGAGGGAGAGAGCACAGGAAGCCTCTGGGGCACTGGAAAATGTTCTCCGTCTTGCTCCAAGTGCTGGTTTCATCAGTATAAACATACATAAAAATTCACTGAACTGTACACTTAAGATTTGTGTACTTTATTGTACAATAACTGATTTTTTTTAAGTAAAATAATTTTAAAAGGCTTTTTTTTCAGCATCTAGAAGAACCCTAGGATCTTGAAGGAAATGCCAACCTTCACATTAGGTGAGGGCTCAAGAGCTGTGCTTGAGGGCAGAACCTAGGGAGTTTGTGCTCATCTTCCTTTGAAGTCAAGAAAAAGAAAATGGAGAAGAAATTTTGATTAATCATTTCTAGGTTGAAAGAACAGGTCTGGGCCAGAGATAACATCAGTGGCAGCATCATGAAACTGTTTAACTGTTATCTCAAACCACAATGAAAAATAACTTGTGAAGCTGCATCCTTATTGGCAGCCATAACTCACGGGTCTCCTAACAGGAGGGAAATTGGTCAGTTTTTTCTGAGGGTGAAGTCTGTGCCCAGTAGCCCTTTTAAGAGCCTAGAAAGAAGGCTTCTGTGGAACCAGGTCTAGGATTCTCTGTCTGGCTCACCTCCTGTGTGGTCATGCGGAAGTCCCAGGTCTTTCTGGGTCTTAGGCAGAGAGCTGCCAGCACCAACAGTGGGTAAGATGGCCCTTCCTCATCCTCAGCTCCCCTTTTGGGGGTTGGCTCTACTCGGACTTGCTCTGCAGACCTGGATGCCATGAGCATTCCAGCCTCCCCTCTCTTCAGAGGAATAGGGCCAATATCAGAGTGCTCTCAGCAGTGTTCTGACCTAGACCTTAGGCATCAGGGCCCTGCATCTAGCTGGGCCTCCTTGTGTCAGGCTGGGGCCTCTCTGTCCCTGCCACAGCCCCACTTCATAGATAAGAAAATGGAGGCCCAAGACAACCTACATGGCAGATTCCTTATTTGTGAAGCCCATGTAACAAGGTGGGAGGGTCCCGAGGAGCTGCTTCTGGAGCTACAACAACCAGCCTTGTGTGTTCAACACAAGAAGCAGCTTTGCTCAGAAGCCCATGTAGGAACAGTATGTACCTGGTCCATGCAGCCCCTGCCTTCCCCTTCCAGTCATATGGGTTTGAATTCCCAAGCACACACATATGCAGGAAGCCAGAGGTGTAAGGACTCAGGCCCTGATTTCCAGGGCCAGTCCTGCTCACTTGGGGCTGGCTGGCAGGCCAGCTGTATAGCCCCAAAAGGAGAATCCACAGGACGATTGTAAAGAAAATTGAGGATGCCTGAACAGCACCTTGCAGTCTCCAGACCCAAACTGAGAGCTGCCCTGCCTGCCAAGGAGGAGCAGACAGGCCTCTTTTGCGATCCATGCTATCTCAGAGAGAAAGTATTGGTGCTCCGGACCTTCAGACATGGGTTCAGTCCCTGGGTCTGGAAGATCCCCTGGAGAAGGGAATGGCACCCCACTCCAATATTCTTGCCTGGAGAACTCCATGGACAGAGGAGCCAGGCGGGCTACAGTCCATGGGGCTGCAAGGAGTCGGACTTGACTGAGCATGCACAAGCAAGGGCTGTGAGGGATACAGTCTGCGTTGTAAGCTAATCACCAGCATCTTGGCTGAACAACCAATCTGGGGAATCAGTTGATGCACTGCAAGCCACCACCAAGCACCCCATTTTTCTGGAGACACTGAGGATGCAGATTTTATATAAGCAAAGGCACCATATAATGCCCACTGACCTTGGCCTTCAGTCTTTCTCCTCCAAGGCCACACTCAAAGCCACACTCAAAACCATGACAGGGTAGAAAACCAAGGAGGAAACTCAACCTGCCATCCCACCATCTAAATCATAATCTTAGTTCCCTTCTGGCTCTTGGCCCACAGTGGGGTCATCCTGGCAATAATAATAATAGCATTCTGGGCCTTTCTCAAACGCTTGGATATGTTGTCATGTTAGCTTCCATTGTTGTGCATTGTTTCATTTATTGGAGAGGCAGAGTTTTTCTGTGGAGCTTCTCTCCTCTGTCTTTCAAGTGATCTCCCTGAAGGTGAATGCGGAGTCAAAGGATGTGAACGCACTGTGGCCTTGACAGAAACTGCCATGTGGCTGCCAGTGGGGCGATTCCAGTTCTCAAGGCCTAGCCTATGAGAGAGGGCTGCCCTGCTGCTTCAGTGAAAGGCTTCGATTCCTGGGTCCATCTTCAGTACCACTGACTTCTGAGGCAGGATGGGGCCCCAGGAAGCAGAAGGCTATATAGCAGGTTTGGGTGGTCCCTTGCGGGATCCCTGTGAAGGGAACGGACTGTTTGTGTCCTGGGAAGTCTTGATGTATGGGGGAGCCCATCTCCTCAGACCACGTAGCCCTGTTCCTCCTCCTGGTCTAGAGGTGGGCCTGGCATAGGCCTACCCATGGTTATCTCCCATAAAAGAATATAATTTGAACTTGTTTCCCAGCCTCTTAGGGAAAGAGAGTACCCAGGACAGTCAGAGCCATGCTTCTTGTGCCTAGGTGTCTGGCCTGGCGCTCCGGCTTTACAATGTGCCTGCCTATCCTTAGGTCCCAAGGGAGAAGGGTCAGTAGGCTCCCAGAGAGCTGTGGGCTCAGACCTGCCTGGGTCTCCAGAGCAGTGCCCACATGGCCCTCCTACCTGGTTCCAGCCCCAGAAGTCTCCCCAGGACTACTGTCCAGATCTGAGACTAATGGAGGGAAAACTGGGGCACATGGAAAATACAGACAGCCCTCACTGCAGGGTCTCTTCGTGGATTTGGTGGCTTTGGCCAGGGCTTAAGGCTTTCAGGGGGATGAAGATAGTTAGTCCAGATAGTATGGCTGCCTCCCTACTGTGTTCATTCCTGACTTTCCTTTCTCTCAGGAGAGGCACCAGAGCCTCTCTGTCAACCTGTTTACCTAGAGTTGAGCCAGGTGCCTGGAGGTTCTCTACCTTGATGAATACTCTGAACCTAGGCTGTAGTCCAGCCTCAGGGGCTAGAGTCACCCCTGCCTTTGTGGATTTTGACTGAGAGACTGGGGCATCTGTCCAAGGTCACACAGAAAGCTAGTGGCAAGCCAAGCTCATGCGTACCCTGCTGTCCTGAACACAGCAGCGAGATTACAAGGGTGTTCATGCAAGCCCCGGATCTTCTACTGTCAGGTGTCTCTAGCTGAGAGGAGGCTGGGCATCGAACTAGCAGTTCTTCCTGCCAGCATATCTCAGCAACTCCATGCTGCCGTGCACCCCACAGACCCTGCTGCCAGTCACAGAGGAATGGTCTCGGAAACTCTGAGCACCTGTGTGGTTTGCCCAAGTGACAGAAACTCATAGCCTCTGGGGACTGGATCATGGGCTTTCTCTGGGCCGAAACCAACCTTGGCCCCTGGCCCCTTAGCGGCTGAACCTGAATCACAGAGCCACCCTCAATGTTCTGAGATAATTTGGCCACTTCCCTCAGTCACACTTGAGACTGACCTCCAGCCTGAAGTGGTCCTCACACTGGAGATGAGCTGGAAGTGGTCTGAAAATCATAGGGCAAAGGGTGAGTGTGGGGAGGGCTGTAGTGGGTCTGCATAGCTGGCTGCAGGCACAATCTGAGGCTTTACAGCAGAGTAAGGTAGATTTGCAGACTCTGTACAAGGCCTGCCTGGGCTTAATTGTGGTTACAGCTTGATGCCTATTTATATTCCAGAACAGTAGATCTTTATCTTTCCCGGTTTGTTGAACAAGTTCATGGTCTGAAGGTCTGGGCTGTAGGAAGCTATTTGGATTGTGGGGTAATCCCAGTCACCTCTAATAAATGGTTCAAATAATTAGAGTTATGGTTAGAATTGAAAGTGGGTAGGGGTTAGAGCTTGGTAGCCCAATGTGGCAGCATTTCAAGACCTGAGTGACTGGTGGATCCCCAACCAGCAAGGCCCCATGCTTTGGGGATGCGAGGGTGTTAATAGTTGGGGAGTGGGCTATTAGGTCAAGGAGATGCTTGGAGAGTGTCCTTGGGTTTGTGAGGGGCTCAGTAAGCCAGGAGAGGGGCTTAGAAGTTAGTTGTTTGCTGGTTGAGATGAAGCTGAGGGTTTGGAAATGTTCTGAGCCCCCATGGGCCCCCTAGCCTGGTCCAGGTCCCCCACTGTGCTGAGTCCTCTGTGAGTAGCCTGAAATCCCCCGTTCTCCTGAGCCATTTACTAGGGTTGACTCTTCTGTGACTGCACTGAGTCCTCAGGTGGGGCGGTTGCGGGGAGGAGGGTCCAGTGAAGTTAGAGCTGCAGTAGAAGCCCAAGTAGGGAGGGCCTTGGACCTTTGGATCAGGCGTGGACGGGTGCTGAGTGAGGCTGGGGAGGGGTGTCTGGGAGCAGATCTGATGTGAGTTTTAAAGGACACAGGGAGGAGAGGAGTGGGAACAAACTGCACTGATGGGGCTCCTGCCGCAGGTCCCCTGGTGCTGGAAGCACATCGAAGGGGCAGATGAGGGTGGTTTCCCACTCGCCTTCCTGGGCCTCTCTGCCTGAGAAACCCCTGACCCTCCAGGTCAGAAGCCTTGGTTATGGGGCCAGCAACCCCAGCCCCTTACCCCTCTCAGTCTATCAAGGCCCCAGAGAGACTGAACACTGTCACAACTCTTACCAGCATTTCCTTACCCCAGCTTTATTAAGGCAACAAGTGCTGATGCATCAGTTACAGAAATATTTCCTCAAGCACACCCCTACCATTACCCACCCTCAGCCCCATCTGCTGACCCAGGGCCAGAAAACTCTTACCCCACCCCGGCTGTAAATTGTTCCTGAGGCTTCTCCAGCCCCATCTCCTGAAGCTCTCAGGGCATCAGGACGTGAGAGGACGAGGTCTCAGAGGATGCCCTTGATCCTTTTACAAGATTTCCATCCTTCTATAGATATGACAACACTCTGTAAAGCTTCTTTGAACTTTGAGAAGTTACTTTTCTCAGTAATACAGTTGTGTCCTGTTAGCTAAATAAGAAACACATAATTAAGTTCTCTTCTTAGCAGAAAAAAAAAAGTAAAAGCAAACTCTGTTCTCCCAGCCATAAGGGCCCTGTAAGACCCATCTATCTACCTAGGAGGTAACTCAGGCAAACCCTCCCCATCTGTCTTCACTGGGCACCATCTGGTGATATTTGAGCCCCAGGACTGAGGATCATCCATTACTTTAGGGAGAGACCCAGCAGAGTGTGGGGAGGTCTCCTGGCTTCCCAGGACAGGGACACAAGGACGTGCAGGGTGGGAGGACACAGGAGACAAACAGTAGGGTGGGCAAAGAGCAGGGAAGCTCAGTCGTTTCCCCACAACATCCCCCCTTAAGCCACTACCCATCCCCACACCGTGGGTTCCCAGTGGAGTTCCTTAGCCTAGGAAGGGGTACCAAGAGCAAGGCAAACCAAAGCCAGTTAAGACTCGCCACCTGACCAGGGTTGGCCCTGAGTGCCCTTCCCTCTCCCAGGCTGCATCCACCCTCTGACCTGTTCCGTGCACATGGGCTTGGCAGAGGGTAAACAAAAATGTCTAGAATAACCCCTGAATCCCCACTCCCCTAAGCCTCAGTCCCTGTCAGTGAGTGGACTTTTTTTGCATGACAAAGTAGTATATGAAGCCTCACATGTAGCAAATGGGGGCCCCAAGAAGCTGTTTACCCCACTGGGCCTCCGGCTGTGGTGGCGAGAGAAATGATGTCTCAGGTTCCCCTAAGAACAACTTACTTTCAGCTTTGGGCAGATTTCGGTGAGTTGCCTCATGTTCTTACAGACTTTTTCTATGTGACAGTCATTCTTGTGTTTCGTAGAGATGTTATTCAGGGTAGAGATGAAGCCCTCTATAAACTTCCCATAGCAGAGTTCCTGAAACAGGGTTGGGGGCATTGAGTTGAGGGTCTGCTGACCCTCAACCTCATCCATTCCTAGCTACCCCGGCCACATGGAACCCTGGACTCAAATTCAGGCCAGGGTAACCAGGGATGGTTGAGGTTTGCAGTGGGTTTCTGGTCTCTCCCTAGGCATGGGGCTGCTCTGGGATGGTGATCAAAGAGTCCAGCAAAACCTGGTTGCTGATTCATCTGCGGCCTGAGCCGGAGACTTCATCTTCAAACTCCTAACTTTCTCCCCAGATTTCTTGACTCAACAGCTTTTGTTCTCGTCTCTGCCCTGGGATTTCCCTTTCAAGTGTGGTCAGAAATGACCATAGGGTGACTGCTCCTTACCTCACTGGTGTTCTGAGGCCTTTCGAAGGAACCCTGGAAGCAGGAAAATTTGGTTAGCAACACAGAGGGCCACTGAGAGCTAAGTGATATTTGATGAAGACCCAGACTTACCTTGTATGTAATGTTGTCAGCCATGAGTTCTTTCTCAATCTCAGCACAGACTGCCGTGTGATTGTCCTGGGTAGACCCACTGACTATCTTCATCGGGGCGGAATGGCTTTCCAAGACCCATGACACAGAAGCCAGGAGCACGTACAGGTACATGGTATGACTTGAGGGTGGCTCCAAGCTGATCCGAACCCTGGGCTTGATAGCATTTCTGTGAGGAGATGTACCTATATATGAGAGTCTGAGGAAATGCTACATCTCTTATCAGTTATCATTGGTTTACGTGGAAGACAGCGAGGATCTACGTTATCTCTGGGCAAGATGTGTTTTTCATGCTTTGACTATGAGTACATCATACTCTGTGGATTCTTGTCTTTGCTAAAATTCAGGTTTGGTCTAAGAATTTTTACTTATAATCGCATCTAAGTCATGACCTTTCCGCCTATGTGTGGGGCAGGTCTTTGACCAGGACTGGTGCTGTCTACAGTTGATGGCCTGAGCAGAGCAAGCAAGTAGGGTGGAGAAAAAAAAACAGGCAGGAGCTAAAATGCACCAAATAAGCTTCCCCAGGCCCACCCGTCAAGGTAAAGGCTAGCCATGCTGCCTGCTTGACACTTAGGGAGAGATCCACTTCCTCACAGACCCCAGAAGGGACCCTGGAAGACAGGTTCAGGAACAAGGCCTCCAGCCCCATTGACAAAGCAAGTGGAGGAAGGAGAAATACTGTTTTCCCAGTCTGAAGGCCATGGATGTGGGGGGAACGTGCCGGATTGCATGCAGAGCTTCATGTAAAACCAAAAACCCACTCAGAAAAATGCCACACGAGAGCCATGTATCAACAAATTATGCACTTACATTCTGACACTCAGAGATTAAGATCACCCATTTGGGGGAAAGTTTGGTAAATATGCTGAGCTCTGACCCCTGTGGTTTGGTTTCTTTTCCCCTGAACAGCTAGTCTATCTGCTGGTTCACCTTGGGAGTGGTTGAAGCCCTGAGTATGAGAGGCAGGGCATGGCCAGGGTCTGGGCCTCCGAAGGGCCCATTCAGCCAGTGACCCAGCCAAGCCTCAGGAATCCCCCACCTGCCCAAGAAGGATGATGACCCTTCTCTGGAGCAAGATTCCCACTGTCTGGGTTACTTGGCCTTCCAAGTGAACCTGGAAACCTCTCTCTGGGGTGGGAACCTTTGAGCATCCAGGGAAGCATGTCCACGTGTGCAGAATGTCATACTCGGGTGGGCTCCCACCTCCACTGTGCTCTGACAGTGCTGTCTGTCCAATTGTGCCTGATCTGCAGGCCCCAGCCCCCTCCCCCAACTCCCAGCTTCCTCCCCTCCCTGCCCTGGTCCAGGGACGAGAGCACCTTGAACATCTGCTCATGGTTGAAAACAAACTGGAAAACTGCACAAATAAGAACATACTTTTAATAATTTATTATTATAGAAAAACATCTTGAATAAATATAGGGTATGAGCTTAAATAAATAAATAAATAAATATATATTAAAATACATAAATATATAAATAAATATTACTGACCCCTGCCAGTGTAAAACATTTCCCGTTTCCCCTGCCACACCTGTATCAGGGTCAACATGGCCCTGAACAAGTCAGTGTCCCCCTATAGCTCTGGCCCTCCCTGTGGTCCCTCCAGTGTGAAGATCCTGAGTTTTGTTTGGCTCTTTGTGGGTAGGAGGGCAGCGATCTGTGAGGTAAGCTCTCAGGCTGGCTTCCGGCTGGTCTGGCCTGCTTCACTTCTGGACTGGTTCCCAGCAGTCAAAGGGAATGATAAAAAGGAAATCCTTCAGGTTCTCTTTGAAACTTTTGAAGGTGATAGTCTGGGTTTCACAGGAAGTTTCCTTAAGAAAGAAAAGGAAAAAAAACCTGAGTCCAGGCATGAGTGGGTAACATGGGGGAGGCATCAGCATGTTTCTGTGCTGCCTCTTAGAACTCACAGGTTAGAAGGCCTGAATGGGGCCCGCCTGCTGACATGGGTCAGGTGACATCTTGCCACTCATGCGTCACCCAAAGGGTGCACAGTGCTGTCAGTGGCAGCTGGACCAGGGGCCCAATAAAAGTGCAAGACAGACGCTGGTCTGCTGGGCAGCTGGGCCACTGCGTCTTTGGTCCCAGGCCAGGGCACAAAGCTGAGCCCCAGCTGTCTCTAGGAGCCCAGAATGAGCACATTGCAAGGCCACAGACCTCACTTTTCCCACAGGGAAGGAATGCTTGGGGCCTTTTTCCATTCCGAGTAAGCGTTCCTCCTTGCTCCGATGCAATCCAGGCAGCCCAGGAGGGACCAGGGGAAAGTCCTTTTAGGAGGAGGCACTTGGGCCATGGAACTTCCTCTGGGCCTTAGGCAGGTCTTGAGTTTCCTTGTAATTTGCCTCACCTCTGACATCATTAACGGTAATAACAAGCAAGGTAGCAGCTCCCGCTAAGACATGATACAGGCTCTTGAGCTCCAGGACTTTAACACCTAGAGTGGTTCCCTCTCAGGAAGAGCTGATCACTATAAATCTATTGATTCAAACCATTTGGGGTCCCAAATGCCCACAGCCAGAGGTGTCTCCCCACTATTTCTCTGCCCTCCTCAAATGAGACCTTCCTGCTTGGGGACCTGATGGGGGCACTCACCTGGGTGGGGGGGCAGTGTTGCTCGTAGTGCCTGGCCATCATGGTCAGGGAGCCCGTGAGACTCGTGAGGCTGCCCCGCAGGCCCTGCTTGTACAGCTTCAGGCGAGTCTGCAGGCATGTCGGCTCCTGTGGGAAATATCCATACCTTGGTGAGCAGTGGCCGAGTGTGCTCTGGTGGGCCCAGGACATCCTCCCCATCACTGCTCCCTGTTCTCATCCCACTCTCCCAAGAGCAGGGTCTAGGAGGGGCACAGGATTATTCCTGACTAAGCTCAGGCTAGGCCCTGTCATACACACCGCCTTGTCCCCCCATCCACTGCAGACGAATCTGACTTGCCCTCACCGCTCAGCTCAGGCCACCCCCAGCCGGCACAGCCACATTCCCATGGTCTGGTATCTCAAGAGGGTCCCAGCCCCCAGAAAAGGAGATCGCTGGTCCTCCTGCACTTTAGGGGGAAGGGGGTGGAGGGCTTGCCCAAACCTGCTCTGCAAACATAGTTGTTCCTGATGAAACCCTTCTGTGCCCTTCAGTGGCCAGCACGGTGTCCACAGGGCTTGGCATCAGGGCACAGTGAGTGTCCCAAGCCCACACCCCCAATCTCATGACATAACCCCCACCTGTCCCCTGGTGACCCCTACACCCTTGAACACTAGGTCTGTCCATGGCTGCTCAGCTAATAAAGGAGTTCACATGACTGTCACAGGGGCAAGGCCTCCTAAGCAACCCTCCTTCTGGCAGGCAGCTGGCTGGAGAGAAAGTGGACAACCCTTTGAGGGTCCATATAAACTGGAGTCAGTCCCCAGGGCAGAGGCCTTTGTGAAAAGGTGTGTCAGAGAGAAAAATCTTACCTGGGAGTCAAACATTTCAGAGACGACTTCTACTGTTTCATTCTGTAAAAAAGGAAAATGTTCTATAATCGAACTGACAGGCAGGACTAGTCCAGGCCAGCAGGGTGGCCCAGGCGTGGCCTGTGCTCCCTCACTCACTCACCATCACAGCAGCAGTGTCACTGCTGTGGTTCAGAAGGCTCAGGGCCTCCTTGATGGCATCCACATGCTGCCAGGGCCGGGTGACAGGGCTGGGTGGGCGAGTGGGTGCGGAGAAGCTGCAGACCACAGTGCCCAGGAGAAGCAGGTTCTGCAGCCACATCCTCTTGAGGACTTTAGCCTTTCTCTCTGAGCACTGGGCTCACTGGCAAAAGAGCTCTTATATACACAGTTAGAGGAAATGATTAATGGTGACCACAGAACGCCAGGGAGGCGGGGGAACTACCTGAACTGTGGAATCTCCTGGCCCTTATCAGCTACACATGGAACGGTGAGCCTTTCCCCAAGGTGGTCAGGCTTGGGGGTTTTCACTAATGAGCCCTTCCAAGAATTGGCAGCCCACCTGCCTGCTTTCTTGAGCGTTCTCCAGCCCTCCCCAGCAGTCTGACCTGCCAAGGCTTCCCCCTCCCTCTGAGGGGCCTCTGGGTACAGCTTGGACTTCCTGGCCTGAAGTGGCCAGGGCGGGGCCTGGAAGACACTGGATTGGGCTTCTACCCCCACCCCCACCCTTGGCTCCCCATGCTGCCTGTGTCCCAAGAAGCCTTTGGGCTGGCTGAGCTACACTGGGGCCCATTCCAACCCCAGTCTCCCCTTCTCCTCCTAGAGCCCACATCTCTGGCCACAGTGAGAGACTGGAGTGTGAGGAAGACTCTCACAGGCCTGCCTCACTGCCCACCTAGGCAGAGTCCAACCCAATGACATGGTCCTGAGATAGCTCACCTCAGCTCCTACCAAGGGTCCAGAGCAGTCAGCAAGCTGTGCCCATCCAGGGCCCTCTGCCTCACAGCTCCTGTGAGCTGAGGGAATAACAACCGTATGCATGTCCAGCCAGAAAGATTCCAGAATGTTCCTCCGCGGTGAAATCTCATCTGAAAGCAACATTCCTGGTGTACAGAGCCATATTCAGCTCCCAAGCTGCATAGGTGGGTTGGTGCTCTCAGCTGGGGTGGGTCAGGGTTCTGAGTTCAAAGCCTGCCTCCAACACCACCTTGCCGAGTGACTCTTCTGAGTTGCGTGAACCTCGCTTCCCTCTGCAGGGCAGACTGTCCCCTTTGAGGTGGGCACTGTGCTCCTATCTACAGCCTCTTGCAGGCCCCAGCAGGGTCGTGTCTGCATCCACAGGAGGTACAGGGGACAACGGCTTCTTAATCAAGGTTCTTCCAGGCTTAACTTCCTATGTGGCCCCAATGCCAGCCCACCTCCAGCTCAGCAGCCTCCCTGTGGAACAAGAACTGCTTCTGGAAAGGTCACAGGCTCTTGAGGGGCTAAGAAGTGTTTGATTTTCACAATGGACTTTGGAGAGGATGGCATGAATTGGTGTTTACTTCCCCATGCTGTAAGTTTCATGGTTGAAGGGGTATGGGTCCACACACTTCTGTATCTTGAGTGTTCATGTGCCAGTGTGGTTGCTGTCTATACTTACAGATGTGTCAGGAGGGGAGGATATTTTATGTGAGGTGCATCTATGTGAGCCCCCATGCCTCTGCAGGTACCTCTCTGATAGGGGAGGAACTCCCCACACTGGGTAATGATGTCTCAGGGCCCCAGATGCTGGTTTATCCTTGACTGATGGTGTCAGACATAAGCGAGGACATGCTGCTGAGCCCCAGTGGACAGCCCTGGGGAGCAGGTAGAACTCACTGTCTGAGCACCGTGGCCCAAACCTGCAGCCCTGGCAAGTTTCATGGCATAGCAGGAGAGTTGTTATCCTTGTACAGGGAAGCCAGGCCTTGGTCATCCAGACCCCCCCAAGGTCCCTGCCAGGATCTGGGGCCCACTGTGAGGCCAACCTTACTCATTTGCACCTGCTAGAACATTTCTAGGCGGCCAAACTGGGGATAAGAGTGTGGCATGTTCAAACCTGGCCCTTCCTCTATTGTTTCCATGAAACCTCTGCTCAGGCCCTAACAGGGAGCATTCAAGGGGGATCAGAGGGTCAGGGATACTGGGTGAAGGTCCCACACAGAATGGAAGTCTGTGTCAGACAGTGCCCTGAAGGCTGTGTGGTGGGAAACAGGGGCCACAGGCTATAGCTAAGCTTGTGGCCAGGGAGGCAAAGAGCTGGTGTGGCCCCTCTGAGATGGAAGGTCACTTTCCTCCTTGCAGTGAGTTGTCACAGCTCAGACAATTAGTCAACAAACTCTTCCAGTCTGCACCAAGCCCTGTGCTAGTGAGGAGGAAGTTGAGACCCTCCCACTGGTCCTTTCATCTAGCCGTGAAGGCTTTCAGTTCTGTAGGGGAGCAGTGGACCCTCCTGTTGTATGATCCAGGCTGGGATGGAGGAAATTGAGAGTTAAGGAATCTCAAGGAACCACTTCTTCCAGCTCAGTGGTCAGAGGGCACCAGAGACTTTTCCTGGGAGATGCTGCCTCCCAGTGCGTGCCGAAAGGGCAAGTAGAGTCAGGTGGCAAGTCAGGTTGCCGGAGGGAGGAAGAGGATAGTTTGGGGGGGGAGTGTCTTGGGCACAAACAGAGAGGTTTAGGAACAGGTGTGGTGAAGAGGGGCTTCCCTGGTGGCTCAGAAGTAAAGAATCCGCCTGCCAATGCAGGAGGTGCAGGTTTGATCCCTGGGTTGGGAAGATCCCTTGGAGAAGGAAATGGTAACACACTCTAGTTTTCTTGCCTAGGGAGTCACATGGGGACAGTTCCTGGGGTTTCAAAGAGGTGACACAAATTAGTAACCAAACAACAACAACAACATGGTGAAGAGGAGACGGGTTACACAGTGTGCTGTGGAGTGTAAGCAAGGAGGGTTAGCGCTACTGTCCCTGTGCCCAAGGTGAAGACCCAGGGGATGAAAAAGCAGATCTGTAGGATCTGAGGGCCCTGTTATCTGAGAAGAAGGGCTGATGGCCAGGACAGTAGTGTTTAGGGGCCAGAGGCATGATAGCTGGGCAAGAGACTGGCCCGTGGTCCTGGGAGAGAAGGAAAGGAGGAGCAGGAGCCACAAGGAGAGGTCCACACCAGCAGGGTGGCCTGTGGGCGTTGAAGTCGGCACACAGAGGACAGAAGTCCAGGGGTTTGACAGTGAGGTTCATAGGCAGCCACGCATCTTTCTTCTGGAAAGATGACATCAGAGCTGAGGCTGTGACATGCTCAGGCATTCCTAGATTGCACTGCACGGAAAGTGGCAGCGATAGCATCGCGCGGGTACACTGACTCAGGGCCCCCAGTGGGACTGTGGGAGGGTGGGGATAAGGACCAAGATGGGCAGTGTGACTCTTTGGCCCCTTCCCCACACAGTCAGGAGAAAACCCTCTGGAAGGGGTTTCCTATGAGTGTCCCTCCCACAGACTCTGAGGGAAATTAGGGGCTTGTGGTTTCTCTGGCATTTTTTTTCACAGAGGAAGTTATCATAAGGGAAGGAAATGGGCCTCAGGGTGCCTTGCATCCTATGGGACCTTTGCACGGGCTTCTCAGCTGATCTTGCCCTCCCTGGGCCTGCCACCCCTTGATGGGGGTGGTGGTGGTGGTCCTTTTCCTCCCTGGGGACCTGAGAACCAGGAGAGCTGTGGCCCACCCAGTTCATACAATCACTGATGGCAGAGATGGGATTTGAACCCATATCCATTCCTGCTCCTCTGATATCTTCTATCTCGGGGATCAGAAAGCCAGGAAATGCTAGTCACCTGGCTAGACCAGCAGAGGGATGTCCCCCTCAGGGCATCTATAAAGAAAGACTCCTCCAGGTGTTGGCAGGGAAGCTAGGATGGCCTATCACCATCCCCAGAAGGCCCAAAGGCAGAATTTCCCCAGCAGAGCCTGACATCCAGGCATCTCTGTGTCTCAGGACTAAACTCTCCACCACTGATCCCTGGGTAGCCCAAGAAAGCCCCTCCTCCCCAAGCCTCAGCTCCCTCATCTGTACAATGCATTTAATTATTGCTACCTCACATGGGAAATTGTTGCTTGTCCCAGGAAACTTCATGGGAGAATCCTCCCAGGTAGGAGGCATCACTTTGGGAGTTTTCTAAAGTCCAAACAGGGCAGGGGACTCAGCCTTACTGGAATTTGCAGGGATAGCTACTCCTTGTCCAGCTGCAGCCCAGAGAACATCTTTCTCGACACATGTGGCAAGGTGGTGAGCCCAACCACCACCCAGGCTCTGGGCTCATGGGAGAACCCTCAGGAGAACCCAATGTGGGGACAGCACTGTGAATGGCTCGCCCTTCCTAAAGAGATGTTGCTCTGAAAGGCCAGGCTGTCCTGGAGAGCTGTTGTGGTCCTGCTGTCTGGGTATCCCAAGACCCCTGGCACTGGCGAGTTTCGATTGGTCTAGGGGAATCTGAGGGTGGTTAACCCCCAACCATGTGTTTGGGAACTCTGCATCCGTATAGCCCACCTTCCAGGGAGGTGGGTGTGTGGCTGACCTCACAGCCCTCTGCTCTCAGAGCTCACTTCTGATGCTCATGTTGGGTAGGGGCAGGGAGGACAAGGACCAGACTCATAGGCAGTGTTGAGGGTATCAATCAAGACATGCCCAGAAAGTGAACAGCCCGGAGGGGTCAGTCATGAAATGAGAGTGAAGCAAGCTAAGAGAAAGCCTTGCGGAGACTCACTAGATGTGTGGGTTGGGGTTAGGGGGTGAGTGAGGAACCTCTGACACTCGGCGTTCTAGTTCAGGCTGCTGGGTGGACAGTAGGGCCATTTGCTGTGATGGGGGAGACCCAGAGTGTCAGAGAGGTTTGGGGAGTCAGTCCAGACTGGACTGGATGTGGCAATTTTGAGAGGCCAGGGGAACTTCAGAAAACTCACTTGTGGCCACATGGGACCAAAGGTCAGAGAGAAGTCAGGGCATAAGACATGTGGAAGTCACTGGTGAAGAGGAAGTTCCTGGCACCAGAGCGCTGCACAGAGTGAGCCAGGCCTTGGGCAGTACCCAGGTGTGCCAACTTTAAGGCAGGGCCAAGGATGATAGTGGTCTAGTCGCCAGGATTCAGCACTTTCACTACCTCAGACCAGGTTCGATTCCCGGTCAGGGACAATGTGTTTCCTGGGGCTTCCCAGGTGGTAGTGGTAAACAACCCGCCTGCCAACACAGGAGACATAAGAGACGTAGGTTTGATTCCTCAGTTGGGAAAATCCCCTGAAGGAGGAAATGCAA